GGAGGTAAGTTTATCGCACACAAGAAGTCGTATAAAGTTGCTGTAGGTATTTCAGACTCACCAACCGGGCAAGAAAAGTCGTTGAAGGGTGTACATTTCTATTAAGTGTGCTGAGATGGCCATTAGATCCTCCTTGAGGAAAGTTGGTAAATTGTTTAGGAATGGCAGAGCGCAAATGAAATTAGTAATTGCAAACACGCAAAAAACAATTGGTAAATAACTGAAAACTGTTTATTACTAGTTAACTTATTGGACAAGAAGAACGTAACAGATTGCTACACTAATGAGCCTTGACTTAGACCCAGTAATCAATATATAGCAAGATCTCCTTATTTGGAAAGGCTCACAGGACTAGCTAAGTTAACGAAAAAATCTACGGAGGAAACAAACACGTGACGCAAATGCGTTCAGTTGTGATGTTTACCTGTCAAAGGGCTTGGGCGTTAAAGTACAATGAGGGATTTGTTAAACCATGCGCAGGGAATAGGGGAAGAGGCTTCTACGCTGAAAACCCTATTTCTGCCTGTTCTACAAGTTTCACGACGCACCATCGCGACTGTCTGAATGCGCATGAGTTTTCTTTCTTTAACCACGACAGTGCTGCTGTTCACCCCACAATTCCCCCCCCCCCTCCTCCCTAAATTGGTAGAAAAGAGGCTCGACAATCAATTGCCGTACCAATTGAGCCAGTGGGGAGAGGAAGACAACTGCTCGATCAAAACGGATGCGAGAATAACTGGGTCAATACTAACTGATAGCAAAGGCAGTAACGGAAGAGTGGAAGGGTGCACATCGTCTTTGGAGAATGGGACAGGAGCCCTAGACGAATGTGTCAAGAAGTAACAAAGCGGCCATGACAGCGTTGTACACTCCACAGTAATGACAAAAATCACTATAACTTAAATGTTTAATCTAAATCTTAAATGAATAAATGACATCTTTCTAGATAATGAGTGTCTGTTATGGCACATATCTCTGTCCAATTAAACAATAAACACCACAACAGGTCTTCAGGAATAGAGATGGAGATGATGGTAATAATCGTATATGCAATATATTCGACTTTTCTCCACAAGAAGGAGACAGCATGATCTAGAAACATTGAAATTAATTTTAGATTAATGGGATTAATTGGGAATTGTCAGGGAGACTCCAGTCTAAAATCCCTGGTTTAGGTGAGGTAAGGCATTCAATAGTCACAGGACAGGAATGTAAGACGTGCTCTGAAATCCTGGGGTAATCATAGATCCTGTAGCTCGTAGATTTAACACATGAGTAGGCTCCATTGTACCACTCGAAATTGCAGGGAAAATTGATGAACATCTTGGAGGTGGTGGGGGTGGGGGGTGGGGAGGGGGATGAAACATGCGAAAATAGATGAATTAGTGGAGGTAGGAAAGATAATTATTATTGATTTTAGTATAGAGACCCAACTTTCATAAACTCGAAAGATCACACCTTTCTGGCTGGTAATTTGCTTCAACTTCCCTACATACAAAAGTGAAAGAATGACTACAATTGAATGAGATAACCATAACACTCAGTTCATTTTCATCTTTTTTTTCCAGAGCGTGCTAACTCCTCTTCCCCTATGATTTAAACACACACACACACACACACTCACACACACACACCTTAGTGTTCCCAGCCCATCTTCTCTCTCTCTCTTCCCCTCTTAATGATTCATGTCCGAAGTTGTCCAGTAGTCGGACATGTGTTCGCCTGCAGTTGTTTAATTTGACCGCTCCTTGTCTAAATCTCCTTAAGTTAAAAGCCTTTTTGTGTGTGTGTGTGTGTGTGTGTGTATGTGTGAGCGAACGTGGAACATTTGCATTTTTTGTCCCTCGGACATTTAGGAAGCAAAAAAAAGTCAATTTGGGGAAGGGAAAGTAGGAGATGAACAACTTCGGAGGGTACACGCTAATCCATATCAGGGTCAAATGACTAACATTATGGCGGATTTTTAAGTCCAATGCTTTGGGTGTGTTGAACATTTATTTATATCAAATGGCAGGCGTTTTGTTGGTTGTCATTAGCCTTTTAATTGACTTCATGCTTCACAGAGGGGAAGGAACATCAAAACGAAAAAAAGTCGAGGTGAGGTTGGGGGGGGGGGAACAGAATAGGGTTTCTAAGACGAAGGTAGAAAAAAGGTGAGGTGAGTAATGTGGAAGTAGTCGAATATGACATACAGTGGGGTGTTGGTAGTTTGAAGTCAGAAGTCAACTGCCGGTTTATAGACTTTTTGCCGAATGAGTATACGTTGTCCAGGGTGTACCACGTGGAGGTAAGTCTATCACACACCCCGATTTGTGAAATATAGTAACTAACGTAATAGCAGTACGTAAAATGAAGCAAATTAAGGACTTCTTAGCAAATATGCCAACTGACTTACTAAAGGCGTTCATAATTACAGTGTTCACATTTTGTCGTCCAATACTCGATTCCTGCACATCTTCCAACCTATAGGCGTAGACCCATTCCTACTCCATTTGGGACTAAAACCATTAGCCGTCTCTTGGCCTTAGATCTAAGAACTCCCAGTAACATGAAGTCAACATGTATTCTTTAAATTGTCAAATAAATAAATAGTGTTAATTACATCCTTTCTTGACCTTCGTTCTTCACTCGGAATCATTAAACAACTTGCTATGTCTAATGGGCAAATATACCCTAGTAGCAGAATCATATGTCCCAGTAGAACTACATAATGAGTCAGACTATTCATCTGCTACTCAAATAACAATTTGCCAGACCTCCATTTTGTTAAATAATGCCACAAATTACAGTTGAGAGCTTCTATAAATGATTCTAAAGTGAACCTCTTTGAATTCGACATATGTGCACCCATTTTGCAAAAAAAATCGAGTTGATTTTACGCAGTCAGAAAATATTAACATTCACAATATGTACACTTCTCAATTTTTATCCTTTAATTAAATGCTATTTTAAAGAGAATTTCATATGACTTTGTTCATATATTTTTAGACAAATTTGGCCTTCAGCATACTTAAAACATGAATGAAAGATGAAATTAGAATAGTAAAGACAAGTTCACAAATGGGTAAGTAGTCTTCATTAAAACGAATTAGTTTGATAGAAATTCGTCGAATATGATAAGTTACTTGTTTTTGCAAATATTGACAGCAAGGTCAATATTGTAAAAAATACACTGTTTTAACTAACGCTCTGGAAACCGCTTCTTTCGAACTACTTGTTCTCCGCACTCTTCTCGCCTGCTTAGAAAGAAATGAATCCACAGGATTTACAGTCGTTAAAAAACGGAAAGGAGCAAACTTATCTTATTCGTAAGAATTTATTTTTGTAACCTCTGGTAGCCAACTCGGATTATGAACGTGCTATTCAACTTCAATATCTCGAATGGAAGGATAAGTTTTTAGGCCATCGAAATGATAAACAATCTCAACGAATCCTTCTGCGTCAGCTCTCTGATGACCTAATTTCCAAAACTTTCCTTAGTGGATTCAACCTCAGATTAATTGACCTCGTCATTGCTGAAACCATTCAAAAGCACGTGGTACGCAATAATTTCCGAATTTAATTGTGATATCTTAGCAAAACCTATCTCTTGACGAAAAGGAATCCTTGCATTGCCTTATGCGTTGGTATATTCTTGTACAGAAGCACCAAACATCCCTTGCTGCTGTTCCTTTCCAGAGGACTAAAATATTTTGATTATCAGTTTTCCTCTAATAATACATACTTTATTAAATGAACTCAGTTTTTTATTCTTCCTTCCTCATTTTTCTCCTGGAGCTCTTCAGCTGTTGTCTATAATTATTCTTTGTTTTTGATAGAAAATGGATTTTAACGAAGCTGTTGTGCTTGCTCCAATGGTTCGGGTAACGACTCATCCAATGCGTCTTCTTGCTCTCAGATATGGAGCCACATATGTTTATACAGAGGTTATTATTTCTTCCATTTTGAGTAATCGTCAATTTTAGGAAATAATCGACTTTAAGCTTATTCGAACAACTAGATTTGAGAATGGTAAGTGTAAATGCGTAATTAATT